ACTTTGTGAGCTGCTGGCATTGAAGCTGTGAGCGAGTGATTTTGGCTCCTGCATAAATTAGTTTGCTCTGGAGCCCTCCTTCCTGAGCGAAGACAAAAATGTGTGAGCCGGAGGCTAAAAAACTGTGAGCAAGCTCACACCAACTCAGCTTAGAGGGAACACTGGACTCCAGGACTGAAGCAGCAGAACAGAGTCGGGGCCCAGGTCACAATGTTCCCTCTAAGCTGTGGAGTCTTGTGAGCAGAAATTCTACTTTGTGAGCTCCTGGCATTAAAGTGGTGAGCGAGCGATTGGGCTGCTGCATAACTTAGTTTGCTCTGGAGCCCTCCTTCCTGGGCTAGGACAAAAATGTGTGAGATGGAGGCTAATAAACTGTGAGCAAGCTCACACTAACTCAGGTTAGAGGGAACACTGGACTCCAGGACTGAAGCAGCAGAACAGAGTCGGGGCCCAGGTCACAATGTTCCCTCTAAGCTGTGGAGTCTTGTGAGCAAAAGTCCTACTTTGTGAGCTCCTGGCATTAAAGTTGTGAGCGAGGGATTAGCCTACTGCATAAATTAGTTTGCTCTGGAGCCCTCCTTCTTGAGCTAGGACAAAAATGTGTGAGCCGGGGGCTAAAAAACTGTCAGCTAGCTCACACTGACTCTGCTTAGAGGGAACACTGGTTCAGGACTGAAGCAGCAGAACAGAGCCGGGGTCCAGGGGCCCCTTGAGGACCCACCAAGTTTCAGGCCGGGTACAACACCTGTAGACTCCTGTAGGCACCTTTGAGACCAACAAAGGTTTAGTCACGGTGTGAGCTTTCGTGTGCAAGGCACACCTTGATCAAATCTCAAACATTCTGGGTCGTACTTTCCCGTGTGCAGGCACGCTTCTTGAGCCATCAGCATGCACACGACAGCTTCTACCCAGAGTGAGATTCGGTTGGCCTTAAAGGTGCGCCTGGACTCCGCCTCTTCGAGAGGCGGACGGATTTCAAACTCGCCCGCCCGCCCGATGGTTTGTGGGGTTTTTTTAGTCGACATTCGCGGGGGTGGCGCGCACAGCGGCAGGTTTCTCTCGAGACCGATTGGAGGAGAAACCTCGTTGCCCGCGCGCACTCTCCTCCCCACCCCACCCCCCCGCCTTTCACTCCTCAATCTGCCAGCCGTTTGCCCACCGCGCTGCGCCACCACCCCCGCGGCACTGCAAGGGGCCGGGCGCGGAGGTGCCGCTTCCACGAACTCGCTGGGGGGTCTCCCCCCCCCCCCGTGAGGGCTCCAGGGCAAACTAATTGATGCAGCAGCCAGTTTGGTGTAGTGGTTAAGTGTGCGGACTCTAATCTGGGAGAACCGGGTTTGAGTCCCCACTCTTCCACTTGCACCTGCTGATGTGACCTTGGGTCAGTCACAAGCTCTGGCACAGCTGTCCTTGAAAAAGAGCCGTTTCCGTCAGAGTTCTCTCAGCCCCGCCCACCTCACAGGGGGTCTGTTGTGGGGAGGGGAAGGGAAAGGAGTTTGTAAGCCGCTTTGAGACACCCTTGGGTAGTGAAGGGCGGGGTATAAATCCAATCTCCTCTTCCTCCTCCTCCTCCAAATGGCTGGCTCACCACTTTAATACCAGTGGCTCACAAAGTCGAATTTTTGCTCACAAGACTCCACAGCTTAGAGGGAACATTGGTGCTATATTGATAGTTGGGGACTCAGCGCTCCCTCTAAGCTGTGGGGTCTTGTGAGCAAAAATTCTGCTTTGTGAGCTCCTGGCATTGAAGTGGTGAGCGAGCGGGTTGGCTGCTGCATCCATTAGGTTGTCCTGGAGCCCTCCTTCCTGAGCCAAGACAAAACTGTGTGAGCCGGAGGCATAAAAGCGGTGATCTAGCTCACACTCTCTCAGCTCAGAGGGAGCACTGGTTGGGGGCAGTGTTCCCTCTAAGCTGAGTTAGTGTGAGCTAGCTCACTGTTTTTCAGCCTCCGGCTCACACATTTCTGTCTCAGCTCGGGAAGGAGGGCTCCAGAGCAAACTAATTGATGCAATAGGCAAACCGCCTGCTCACCACTTTAATGCCAGCAGCTCACAAAGCGGAATTTTTGCTCACAAGACTCCACAGCTTGGAGGGAACATTCCCGACTGACTGTTTCGAATCAGTGATCACAATGACCGATCTCGTTTGAAACGCCCCAATGACTGAAGTTGTGGTCATTGCTACTCACTAGGAATAGTCCTGACCTTTCAACCAATGCTCCCTCTAAGCTGTGGAGTCCTGTGAGCAAAAATTCTACTTTGCGGGCTACTGGCATTAAAGTTGGGAGCGAGCGGTTTGGTCGCTGCATACATTAGTTTGCTTTGGAGCCATTCTCCCTGAGCGAAGACAAAAACCGGTGAGCTGGAGGCTAAAGAACCGTGAACTGGCTCACACTAACTCAGCTTAGAGGGAACCCTGCTTCCAACTAAAAAAAGAGGACATTTTCCTCCTTTTTTTTTTTTTTTTTTTAAGAAAAGCGCCCCTAAGAGGACGGGCACCTAAAAAGAGGGCATCTGGTAACCAGCGTTCCCTCTAAGCGGAGTTAAGGTGAGCCAGCTCACAGTTCTTTAGCCTCCGGCTCACACTTTTTTGCCTTAGCCCAGGAAGGAGGGCTCCAGAGCAAACTAAGGCATGCAGCAGCCAGATCACCTGCTCCCAACTTTAATGCCAGGCGCTCACGAAGCAGAATGTTTGCTCAAAGGACTCCATCGCTCAGAGGGAAACACTGCAGTGGTAACCAGTGTTCCCTCTAAGCTGAGTGAGTGTGAGCTAGCTCACAGTTTTTTTAGCCTCCGGCTCACACATTTTTGCCTTCGCTCAGGAAGGAGCGAAGGAGCTTCCTTGATTGAGTCAATCCGTCTCATGTTGGGCCTTCCTTTTTTCTTGCTACCTTAAACTTTTCATAGCATTATTGTCTTTTCCGATGACTCTGGAGCAAACTAATTGATGCAGCAGCCAGATCGCTCGCTCACAGCTTGAATGCCAGCAGCTCACAAAATAGAATTTTTGCTCACAAGACTCCACAGCTTAGAGGGAACCTTGGAATACTGAAGCGCAGCAGATCCAGATCCAGTTTAAGTGGTCGTTTCCCAAAAGCCTCTTTTCGCCCGCTTTTAATCCTCTCCCGGCTCGGTTCAACAATCAGCAACACCACTTTTTAAAAAAGCAACCAAAGCGCCCCCCGTGAATGAGAAGCAGGCGCCGGCGAGCAACTCTCCCGCCGCGGAGCCCAGCCTCCCTCCGGCCGCCCAGCAGCCCTGCGAAATCTCGACGGGGCCCGATTTCGATGCCAGCGGGAGGACCGCCGCGGAAGTCCCTCCTGCTTTCCCAGCTGCAGAGGAGAGCGAGCGAGCAAAAAAAGAAGAAGCAGAAGAAGGGGTGGGTGGGTGTGTGTCTGCTTGCTCCCCTCCTTTTCTTGAATGAACGGGCGAGGTGGGGCCAGAGGCGAAGCGCCCCATTTGCGGAGGGCGAGGGCGCTCCCCTCCTCCGTCTCCTCCCCTTCTGCCGCCGCCGCCGCCGCTGCATTGAATGTGCTTCCCCTGCCCCGGGGACCTCCCCAGCAGCAGCAGCAGCAAGGCAGGCGAGGGGGTGGGTGGGGGGGGGACAGGGCCAATTAAGGTTTCAGGCACGAGCCGCTTTCCCTGCCTTTGCCTTCTGGTATCTCTCTTTTTAAAAATAATAATAAGAATAAGAAGAATATACAGCTGCTTTTTTTCGTGTGGACTGTATTTTTCCCCCCTCCCTGGAAGGGTTTCTTTTTTGGGGGGGGGGTCGCCCCAGCTTTTTGGTATCTCTGTGGCAGACACTGAATTGAAGATCCACCTCTGAATGGGACGGCTTCCCTTTTGAAATGCCTTGCACTGGAGATTAGTATTAAGTACAGAGCCTGGATTAAGATATGGGTTCCCCCCCATCTCTGTTATTTTTTAAGTAACCCCCCCCCCTCTCCCTCTCTGATTTGGGTTCTCTTCCTTTGCCTCCAAAGCCAGATTCTGAGTTTTGACAGGGTCTTTGCAAATGTCATTCAATCAGGAGACTAGGAAATATTTTTGGGTTTGTGGAGCGCTTATTTTTTTTAAAAAAATGGCAAGAAGAGATGAGGATTGCCGAAGACACCAGCGTTTAATTTTTTTAGAGAAACTGATGCTTTGGAGTTTTTTCCCCCCCTTGAAGTGAACTTAACTGAAAAGCAAATTTCCAATTCAAGTAAGTTTTTTCCACAGGAAATTTACTTTGTGCAACTTTTTTGTTTGTTTGGGGTTTTGTTTGTTGTCTTTGGTATTTTTAAGAAATGCTGTGGAGGTTTTTTAGCTGAACCTGCCTTGTGTGAATTTCCATGGGAGACTTACTCTGCTAGTAAGTGATGTTGACTGCGAGGGGGTTTGGGGGATATGCATGTTGCAGTTTCTTCTTTTATATTCTAGTTCAGTGCGTGGGAGGGGGGGGAATGCACCTGATTTTCTGTAAGTATTTTGGGGTTTTCTCATTCTAGATGTATTTCAACACAGACACGGGAAGGTTTCTGGAAACGAGGCTTATAATATTATACGCGCATCTTGGAATACAATATTTGCTGCATTTTACATCCTATTTCCATCGTCTGTCACATACGGGAGGAGGAAGCACCGAGAAGACGGAAATACCTTTGAGACCCCAAGGACCTCAACCAATGGAACGGCATGGAATAAAGCAACTGGATTATATATAAATACTGGCATTCGTTACTACTGGCTGCTCTATTTGTGGTGGTGGTGGAGGGGGGGGGACATTGGATTTGCTTCTGTTCTTCTTCTCCTTCACCCGTTATAAATGATGGCTCATCCTGGAATAAGAGAATACAACAGCAGGGAGATCGTGCTCAGATATCTCCATTACAAGCTTTCCCAGAGAGGCTATGACTGGATTGCCAGTGGAGACAGAGCAAACCTTCTTTCTCCTGCTGCTGCTGGGACCTTCCGTGCCCTTGCTCCGCTGGCCTCTTTCCCGTCTGAGTCCCCTGGCTCAGCTGCTGCTAGCCACACGGGTCTGGTTGAGGAGCTACACCCGGTGCCACAGGTTGTCCACTTGACGTTACGCCAAGCTGGCGATGAGTTTTCGCGGCGTTATCAGCGGGACTTCGCCCAGGTGTCTGGCCAGCTGCACTTGACCCCAGTCACGGCCAGGAGTCGCTTTGTAGGAGTCGTGGAAGAGCTCTTCCGAGACGAGGTCAACTGGGGGAGGATTGTGGCCTTCTTCGAATTTGGGGGCATGATGTGCGTGGAGAGCGTCAGTCGGGAGATGTCTCCTCTGGTGGACAGTATCGCCGTGTGGATGACGGAGTACCTGAACGGACACCTGCGGCATTGGATCCAGGACAACGGAGGTTGGGTATGTAGCTGGCTGTTTTGTCTCTACATGTTCCACCACCCACCACCACCCCCGAGTGCAGTAGCTCCACTGTCTCAACATCGCACTTTTCAATGCAGTTGTGTGTGGCATGCATGACTAGTGCTTTCCCAGGGTGGGTGTCGTGGGTACACTTCAGTACCCTGCACTTATTCTAGTTGCGCCTCTTTTAGGTCATTTGCTTTTGCGGGACAAAAATGCGATGAATTCCTGCCATGGGTAACAGTTACTGAGGCTCCTGTAGCTGAACACAGTAACAGCACACTCAGGGTGTGCGTCTGGTAGAAGAGGACCCCGTGCTTATGTCCCTTCGGTTGACTCCCCAGACTCCAAAGGTCTGTTAGTTGCCTCTCTCTCTCTCTCTCTCTCTCTCTCTCTCTCTCTCTCTCTCTCTCAAGTTGCAGCAAGGGCTTCTCATCTTGATTGAATCAGACCTTAATCAGTGATGTCATTAATAGGCTGATGTGAAACTTGGAGGTGGTAAAAATGAGGTCACAGTGCGGCATCTGATTCACTTCATGTGTGGCCTGTTGCGTGAATGAGTCTGAAGAAACTAAGGGGAGGGGGGGAGCTGCTGAAGGAGAGTTGTGAGTGCGACACGCTTAGAACTCTTGGTATCCGAACTTTGTTGATGTCATACACTTACATGTGCAAACGGAGCATGCGTGCGTCCAATAAGCTTGGTAGATGTCCTCCAGAATGCTTCTGTCGCTTCAGGAATTAACTGCTTAGAATGCCCCTTATGCCATCTAGATAAAAGGATCTGCCCTGTACGGGCCTGCGTAGAGACCGCAGTCATTTTAAACAGGCAAAGCCTATATTGATAAGAGGCGTTTTAACAAGGAAAAGATAACAGGATGGACCAGTTTGTCCACGTGATGTACGGGGCAGCAAGTATAACGAAACAAGAGTTTAATGTCTGTTTCTTAAATGTCTCACTTAAAAAGTTTCTCTGGATCTGTTTGGAAGGAGAGTAAGAAACAAAGCAAGCCCTCTTTAATCTGCAGAATCTTCTTGTGACTGTCCTTGGAAAATGTGTGACATTCGTTGCGGTCTAGTGTGTTTCAAGGAAGAGCTGAGTTCTGCAGAGTGGCCAAGGATGGCAGAGAAAGGGGCAGGAAGAATGAACTCTGCTGTAAGCGGAGAAAGCTCCCTTCCCCCTGTCTATGATAACACAACCTCATCTTCTGTCTCGGATAAACATCTCTGTATGTTCGGGGCCTCCCACGTTATAAAGCCCCACCAACCAATCAGTCGCGTGGTCTCGCAGCTGGGGCCCCAGGCTGCCCACTCAGGGTTCATCAGAGGCGAAGTTGTGGCCCCGTTCCCTCAGAAACCTGCGCAACCTGCAGCATGAAAAAGGCCAGATTCCCCCGGGGTCCCATGGAAGGTAGCTTCCAGTACATCCCTGGGGGATGCAGGTACAGGGCATGGAGGGAGGGGTGCCGGCAGGGCACCCTCGTCCCATTGAACTGGAACAGCTCCCCCCCCCTTGCAGTCCCAAGCCACAGAGCTCCTGCTGCAGGACATCCTGAAAGGCATCGGGAAGGCCATCCAGGGAAGCTTGGGTGTCTCTGCGCAGCTCTACAGTTTTGGTCTTCAGCTCCTGCCGGACGTGCTCTACGTCCAATTGCTGTCGGGCAATCGTGGTCATCGTGGAACTCTCCAGAGCCCTGGTGCCGGTCCTCATCTGCCTGCCACCACCAGACTCCGGTAGCTCCTAGGGGAGGGGTAGCCCAGTCGGGGGCATCCCATCGCCCCGTCTTGGCCCACCGCTCCTTTTGCTCCACATCACGCCCCTTCGGTTCTCCTTCAGACGGCATGGTGACCCCCTTGCCATCGGGTGACTTGGGGGGGGGGTCTTTGTTTCAGCCTCCTCGTCTAGAGGTCGTCCCTTCGGTGGTACTCAGGGTCAAGGGAAAAACAGTTCTGACACTATGTCAAGTCCTGGATGCAATCACTCCCACAACACTCTTGTAGCAGCAAAATTTGTTTATTGAGAGGTAGAGAGATTCCAAGCATAGACAGATTCTGTGTCGGAACTGGCCTCCGGATGCCAGTTCCGACCCTAGACTACAAGCAGGTCATCCCCTCTATGCCAACTACCCAATCAGTATTCTCATTCAGCCCGCCAAAGATCCAAGCTGGCCTTTGTGGCCGTCCCCCAGCACCAGTAAAATAACGGTTACATTATTGAGAAGCTCCCTGCATTACAAGGTCATGCCGGATGCTGAGATCATACATGTCCCAGGGTCTCCCAGATTGCTACAAGCTGGCGCTATTCAAGCTTAAGCAGACATTCACACACACATCCACTCCCCCCCCACCCCCCCCCGTGGTCCTAGCAGGGAAGATAAACAGCAGTGAAGTATTTGGCCCCGGAATACATGTAGACGAAAACAGTGGAATAAGGATGTCTAAGAAAGTAGTTAACAGACCAGGAATTTTGCTTAACAGCCTTCTATGGCAAGCGAGGCTGGAACTTGACACCGTGCACCTGATTATAAGTGGAACTTCTTATCATCTTTTTTCACTGATTCTCAACCGGTGTGTTACCAGTGGGGGTACCACTGCAGGAATGTTGTGATGTCCCCAGGGTAGCAACTACGGTGTTGTAGACCAACCAGAGCTAGAGAAAAAGGGTATGATGAATATGACTTTATAGTCAAAATGAGAACTCAGAATCTGGGTTTGCTTGGACAGTGAGCTCCTCTTCGTACAAAGTTGGGGAGTTTTCTTTAAAAGATCTCTGTTCAAACTCAGTACTGTTGCCCTTGTCTCTGTTGTTGAGTGACCGATGTAAGGTTCTGTGGATGCCTGCCATTAAGCATATTGGGGGTGGGGAGGGTAGGAAACAGGTACATACTTTTAAAGCAGATAAAATTGTCCTGCTGATATCTTTTACTGGGCCACTGGTGGGATGTTGAAATGTAACTATAGCCAAGATGGCCTTCTAAGAACAAACAGGCGCTGGGTATCTCGGTGTCTCAGATAGCAAAGTTTTGAGATAGAACTTTGTTATGTCTGAAACCCGAGAGAGCTGCCATCACCGGAGTAGACAACACCGAGGAGGAGGAGGAGATTGGATTTATACCCCGCCCTTCACTACCCAAGGGAGTCTCAGAGCGGCTTACAAACTCCTTTCCCTTCCCCTCCCCACAACAGACACCCTGTGAGGTAGGTGGGGCTGAGAGAGCTCTGACAGAAACTACTCTTTTTCAAGGACAGCTCTCATCAGAACTACAGCTTGCCCAAGGTCATCCAGCAGGTGCAAGTGGAGGAGTGGGGAATCAAACCTGGTTCTCCCAGATTAGAGTCCGCGCACTTCACCACTGCACCAAACTGGCTCTCAAGCTGGCTCATCAAACTTGGTCACCAAGCTAGAAGGACCAATGGTCTGACTCAGTAGAAGGCAGCTTCATAGAAAGGATGTAGGCAGAACCATTTGGATCCTATCAATGTCATTTTGGATCAGCATGGCATCTGCTCTTTGAACTTTACTCGGTGTTGTAGGACCCAACTTTGTAAACGTAAGAAATGTGCCGTCACCAAGTCCTAAATTTTGCTATGTAGTACCATACTGCGATAAGCAAAGGGGATACCTTGGTTGATACGTTGGTTTTGTGTGGTGCTCCCAGTAAAATGGATTAAAATACTGGCACGCTTATTAAAAAAAAAATTGTCGGAACTGTATTGCTTTGGGAATTAAAATCTGGACACATTTTTAGAAGTTGTACAGACTGAGTCACACATGCAAGTCCCTTATTTGATGGTGCTACACCAAGGGATGAGTCAGACATCTGGATAGGTCAGTACTGATAACAACAAAGAACTTTCTCCCGCTACCTTAAATCTTTTCAGTGAGGAGAGTTCACACATTCACTCATCAAGGCATTTATGTGCCTGTGTGAACCTGGCCTTGATCTTCACGTTTCCATTGTGCAAACTCAAGATGAGGTGTTTTGCAGTAAAGGGGATCATCCCTTAAATCAAAGATACCCAGAATTGCTGTATTCCATATGCCTTTTCTCCTAGACAGCAGTTTGCTTTCTGAATTCTTCCGTCTGTCCCAAATGAGCTATTACTCACTGGAGGAAAGAGAAACATATCACTTGCTTTCAGGGTGGCAAATGAAAACACGAATGATTTGCATGCAAATAACAGTGCCCCAATATTGCTCTTGTAAACAAGGCATTAATCACAGTGGAAACTTAATGAAGACCAGGTCACCTTTGCAAGGCATTAGTAATAGGCTACTTTGCATTCATTGCATGTTTTGGAATCAGACTGTTTGATTTTCATTTCCAATGTCTGCCACTTTCTTTTCCTTCTCCAGAGATTATTTTCTTCATAAGTGATGAAGGCAGACCTTCATTTACAACTTAGGGATCTGACTTTGGGAGATATGGAATGTGATTACCTTTGGGCAAAAGCCATATTTTTCTTGGAGACACATTCTTTTGCAGCCCAAGTGCTGAGATGCGGAGTGCGTTGCAAATTGGCAGTGTGCAGAGTGTGGCTCTTTGTAGCCCAGCGTGTGGTTCTTTTTGAGCTTTTGAGGTCTTCCAAAGGAGAAATTAAATTCAAAAGCCAACACCAGAGGAACACAGAGACGCATTTAAGCATAAACTGACCCGTCTATGTTTGCATTAGTAGCTGACCAGAGAAATAAAACTTGTTTTGTTTGCATGATATAGCTTAAAAATGTGGAAAGAATGCAGACTATTGTGGACATATGCCCACTGAGCGATTATTCACTTGGCTAGTCTCATTGGTTTCAGTTGTCATTGTTATTCTTTCTATAGTACTTTTCACAGTGCTTTCTTAATACTCCCCAACAGTACTGCGGTGTAAATTAGAACCACCAATCTATGCATTGTGCGAAAGATGTGGATCATTTTGGACTACCATCATTAGATAAATTCTATCTTCATAGTTGTTGTTTGTTGTTCAGTCGCACAGTCGAGTCCGACTCTTCGCGACCCCATGGACCAGATCACGCCAGGCCTTCCGGTCTTCCGCCGTCCTCTGAAGTTTGCTCAGCTTCATGTTCGTTGCATCTATGACACTGTCTAACCATCTCATCCTTTGCCGTCCCCATCTTCCTTTCATAGTAGACTTTAGAATTGTATCAGAGTTATTCAAGTTCATTGGACATGGTTTTCCCAGATATAATCCTGGGAATTGTAGTTTGGTGAGAGTCCTGAAAATCCTTTAATAGCGTACCCTGGGTCTTCTCAAAGAGCTACAATTCCCCTAGGAAGAAACAATTACTACTTAAGCCCTTTTTAATGGTTAGCACTTTTGGACTTGTGCTCTATTCTGTGTCCATAAACTTGAACATAAACTTCCTTAGATACAGCCCAGGGGGTTTATTCATGGCCTTGTGGAGGTGGTGTCTGAGGAGGAAGAGTTTCAAAGCCCTGCAGTTTATAGGCACAGCAAGTATTTATGCCAATAAAGGCTAACTTGAACCTGGCACAGGAAGCTGTGGCCCATTACTTATGGCAACTGGCAAACCACCTTGAAAATGCTGTGTATTGTAGTGTATGCCGGATTCATATCCGATGGATCCTTACTTAGGTATGGTTTACAAATGTATATATGTCTCCTGGTTTCTCTGGCTGCTCGGTGCATACACTGACTCTGTTGAGAAGCATTGTGTTTTAGCTGACATGAAATCAAAGCTTATGTCCATGATGGACCCTTCTGGTAGGTTTATGGATATCCAGAGGTCATTTCGGGGGGGGATCGCGGGGGATCGCAGTTCCCCCGGGTGAGGTACGGGGGCGGGGCACATGACGAAGCCCCGCCCCCTGCTTCCGGCCGCCTCGCTTCCGGCCCTCATTCAGCCAGGAGGAGGCAGGAGAAGAGGGAGGGTAAGTTGCTTCCTCCCCACCTCTCCCCACCCTGCCTCCGGGGCCGTTGGGGGCGGGGTGTGTGGCCTTATGACACACTTCCGGTGATGTCAGGGGGTGTGGCCTTATGACACACTTCCGGTGATGTCAGGGGGTGTGGCATATGCTAATGAGTTATGCTAATGAGTTCCCCTAGCTCTTTTTCTACGAAACGACCCCTGTGGATATCTGAATATGTATGTGTGAACAAGACCAAACCCTAAAGCTTTTTAGCTTTTTCATCCCTCTCTCTTTACATATGTGGAAGATACAAGTAGAAGAAAGGAAGCCAAGGGTGGAGCGACAGATCTACAGCACTGTTTGGACGTAGGAGACCTGTGCTCAAATTCCTAGCAATTGGCAGCTTTTTTGTATGTGTGATTTTGACTTTAAACATACTGCTCAGATGAAAAGGGAAGAGATCGTATTCCCTCCCTTGCATATAAACCCTTGGGGTGACTCATCTTGATTTGGCTTGGTTTGTTTTTATTGTTTTTATTTGCTTAAACTTTTTTTGGCTCGGTTTGTTTTTATTGTCGGTTTTGTCTTCGTTTTGAGCCACTCTGAGTAGGCCTATAGAGGCAGCATACAAATGTTCTAAATAAATCGGGGGCTGAAGGAGATTACCAGAACTTTAGTACCACGAGTGTGTTGTGTTGTCTTCCTGGCCCTGGGATCTTCATGCCATCTCTGGTACGCCCAGAGCTGGAACTGCTAATCTTCAGGACCTGAGAGAGAAGGGATAATGCAAACACATAAAAACATACTGTTATTGTTTGGAGGCTAAGATGAGCAGCCTTAATATCTCTCGATGCCGTAG